CCCCCTCGAACGCCCTCATCCAATCTGAGCGAAGGCAAATTACTCCTCTGTGACACCTGTGTGTTAGTGCTATCATCATTAGAAGCTGCATTGATCGGGGGCCCCGGCTCCCTCAGCCTCCCTCAGCCCCCCCCCCACTGTAAATTATCACCACATCTTATTTGTGCAGATTGCCTGTGTTGTTGCATGTTGATTCAAAAAGCACATTTTCTCCAATCATGAGAGCAGTGTAATTGGATTTCTGACGCTCCTGCATCACGTTGCACAAGCTGTTGCAGGAGGTAGAAGGAGAAAACGTACACTACACACCACGAGTGAAACAACTTTGATCGAATGAATCATCATCACGGCGCTCGCTGCATAACGGTATCTGTCGATGCTTTCTGGAGGCCTTTCATTTCTCAGAGCAACACAGAGGAGAAGTGATCTATACAGGAGGGGGGCCCTCCAACCAGCGTTTACCACCATCATGTCTTTCCAGTGTCCCGGTGCTTCCTCTCTCTCTCTCTTCTTTATTCGTTGTCTCCTAAAGATGGATAATTCCTCTTAATATTTATGTGTTGACTTTCCTTGACAAACTTTGGATTCATCAGGAATAATGCATACAACGCTGAGCAGCGCCTTTGAATAAACACCGACTCAGATGACTTGAGAAATGAGAAAATCTGGAAAATATTTCTGTTAAAAGAATACTTCAGGAGTGGTCATGAATAGGGCTCAACAGAGTAGTGTCTGAAGTAAAAAAATCCCATTTGTTTTATCCAGAGCGGATTAGATTATTAGCCCTAATGTCTCTCAACCAGAGGGTTGTGGGTTTGACCCCCAGCTCCTGCAGCCACATGCCGGGGAACTGGCTGAAGATTTCTGCCTTTTAATAAGACAGTTTTTTCTTACCACTGTAACTTTTGCTGCTTTGCTAAAGTGCTCATGATGGATAGGCCGGGTCTTTGTAATATAACAATAAGTAAAGTCTTTTTACCTGCTTTTGTAATATAACAATGAGTAAGGTCTTTTACCTGCTTTTGTAATATAACAATGAGTAAGGTCTTTTACCTGCTTTTGTAATATAACAATGAGTAAGGTCTTTTACCTGCTTTTGTAATATAACAATGAGTAAGGTCTTTTACCTGCTTTTTGTAAAGTGTCTCGAGATAACACTTGTTATGAGTTGAAGCTATACAACTAAAAATTGATTGATTGATGCCCGAAGTGTCCTTGGGCTAAACACTTACACCCGAATTGCTCATGCTGCTTGGTCGGTAGCGTATGAGCGTGTATGAACGGGGTTAGTTACTTCTGATGATCTCTATAGCAACCTCTGCCATCAGTGAGTGAATGGGTAGGAAGACTAGAAAGGCTTGCTTACATATGGATATAAAAAGCCTGCCCGCACTGTTTAGACAAATACAACACCATGGTTTCCTGGTGAAACAAGCAGAAAACTGCTCATTACTCCACCTCTTTCAAGTAAAAACAAACTGAACATTTCAGAGAACATTTTTTATTCATTGCTTGGCATCGGCCCAATGGCAAGTCACCGCACCCAGCCAAGAAACAGTCGAGCACATAACCCTTCTTCAAACCCCTATTTTCTATTTTAACTGCTTTGTTTTATTTTCATGTATGGAGGCTTCAGTCCTCCACACAGGCAGCCCGCTTTAAAGTCCAACCTGTGGCTCCTTTCCCCACACTCTCTCTCTCTCTCCCCCCGTTACTGACTCTGTCCACTGTCCTCTCCAATATAGAGGCTCAAAAAGAAATCTTGAAAAACAGGAGAAGAATTAAAGTGCAGTGTAAGTTGGCAAATCCACGAGTGATGATAGTGAGGAGGAGGAAGAGGAGAAAGAGAGTCCAAATTTTAACAATGGCTTTTCGGAGGTGTGCCTGGGCCGCAGAGTTGGAGCCAGGAGAGGTGGGGATCGGGCCGTCAGTGGCTTTATGATGAGACATTTATTCCAAAATGATGCTGTTCAAACCGAGTTAGCATTGCTGCTGCCAACAGACCACAGATGGAAATGACCCCGTGGCTACAATCTGAAGGGGACTTCTGAAGATAATCAATGACAGTCGCCATATTGTCTCAAACTCACTTTTGGTTTAACCTAACACCAGGGACAGAGGTCATTTCTGAGTTATAGAAAAGTTCTTCCCCCGCACAGTGTGTGCCAGTCAAGACATGAGATATTCAGACCAAATTACATTTTTGATCCGGACTGTAAACACATTCAAAGACTGCATTTTTAAATGTGTGTGTATTTTAATCAGGAGAGACGAGTAAATGATTGAAAGATGAAAGGTTTATTTTACACATGTGACTTAGAATTATTGTCAGAGAATCTTTGGCGCTTGAACTCTACAGGGGAACAGGTCGATTGAAGATGTCTGCCCGGAGCGGCAAATCTATTTTTTAGTACATTCTTAATTTTCTTTTTTTTCTTTAAATTGTACTGTGTTCACTTGATAAATAAAGGATTATCTTATCTTAACAAGATCCGAGGTGTTAGCGGATGATGTTGATTGAAATGTGAAGACTGGAGTTGATGAGGAGATGGTTAATGATGTCATCAGAGGCCGATGGGATGAAGGAGGTGATGAAACTGCGAGGGCTTGGTGGCGATGGGGAGGTGGAGGGTCGCTCGTAACGACGGCATGAATGAACTAGTGGAAGAGCAGTGCTATTGGATAGATGTGACCAGGTGATGATTACGAGAAGTAATGAGTGAGCATGCGTGGAGGAGTGATTTGACATGGTGTGAGAATAAACAATAAAAAACGTGTCTGAACTTTCGCTAGAGCTACATGTGGCATTCGAGGTTTCTGCAACCAACATCAAGTGGACATTCAAGGTACTGCAGGTTCTGATACTTCAGCATCGGCTTCACTTTCCAAGGTAGCCGCTTGGTTTAAACTGGCTGCAATAAAGGCGTCAGAAACTAAAGGACGACCTGCAGCCAGACAGATTTTAATATTCACCCTGCAGGCTAATTTGCCGAGCTGCAGCCACAGATGTACGAGTGCATTCAGCCTGTGTTCTTACTCTGCAGAGAAAAGCACTAAGAGAACAGCTCTACTGTTTGTACAGTATCGTCTGTTTGCCTCTTCAATTATATTGAATTGAACTCAAAAAGAAATGAAGCTAACCTGCGCAGAGTTCCTGACATTCTCAAGGTCTCAGGACCCTCATTCGCAGCGTGCATGCCCCCCAGAGGTTATGTTGACATGTGCGACTGCTCGTCTCTTGATCCTTCACCGCTGGTTGTTTCATCTTCTTTCAACATTCCCTCAGGGCTGCGTTTGTTTTCTCATTTCCCTCCCTCAGCACATCCTTTTTCTTCCTGTCTCTCCCTCGTCCTCTTTTATCTGATCAAATGCTTATAAATTCATTGCATGCTGTTGGAGGCGGCGTCGGCGGTTGTTGTGGCGGTGGGTTGGAGCGAGCTCTGAGAAAACAGCATGAATAGAAGAATGGGTCGCTGCCTTTCTCTTGAAGTAACTGTCCCCCCCCTCTAAGGTTCAAATGTTCCCTCTTACGCTGAGTGTTTTAATTATAGTTTCAGCCTCATTACCATCAAACAAGTGTTGCTGCCCGCCACACTGCATGTGCACTGCACCTTAAAAGCTTTAGACGGTTGTTTCTTTTTTTACAATTCTGGACAGGACGCTGTGTTAACCTCTGTCTCTGTCCTTGAACGTGTGTAGCTCGGGCGCCGTGCACGTGGCCCCCCCCCCCGACGTCACCATGTTTTATGACTTTGTCCTGCAGCTCTGACACTTCATGCGCGCTCCAGGACTTTATTGACTCTGCACTTTAATGCACGCAGTCGAGCAGCAGAGGAGCAGGGCAAAACTTCGACTTTGAGTCAAAGTCCCCTCAGAGGCATTTCACAGAAACGCACGCCACATTTTGTCCCTTACTGTAGCGGGTGTCTGTAAGTCGAAGCATCAAAAAGCTGGTGGATCTTTGAGGCTGTTGAGCTAACAAACATTAGAATTGTGCTTCATTTTTATTAAGATTTGTGAATATCATGGTATTCTCATAACTGCTGTTGATGTTGAGTATGGTTGTATCGTACTGAAAAGAGCCAAAGCTAAGGACGAGATTTAAAACTGGAAACGTCTATAAAAACTTCACTTGACTCCTCGTGGGGTCAGTTAGGGTCTCTGTGCAGTGACGGGGCCTTTTTGAGCTGGCATCAGTTTCAAAGCGCTTCTCACCAGCACTCATTGCTCTCTGTTATTATATTCCTTTGTTCAAAGATATATCACCCAGAAAACATGTCAATAAATCGTGTCCTGGCATCAGCAGCAGCTCTATGCCCTCCGTTGTTTCTCCCCCGCCATTGTTGTTGAAAAAGTGATCGCTATGCTACAGTGTTGGTTTTGTATTAAAAAAGGCAGCCGCAAGAGCAATAAACAGCTTTTTAAAGTCTTTATATGTGATTTTTTGATCCAGCAGATGTCGCCCTTGAGCACCAGCATGAAACCAAAACAGCTCACGCTGCATTGTTGTGTTAGCATGCTAATGCTAGCGATCTTTATTATGCTGGTATCTTCACACTGCATGTAAATTTACCTGAAATGAGCGTGATCTAGAAACACAGTTAAGCAGTGAGTACAGTATGTTATTCTTCTTTTCTCTAGTCCCTCAATTAAACAACTTTTATACACGAGGGGAGGAGTCAGCCGGCCGTCCTGGCGATGTAAACAAAGTGAAGATAGGACTCTGAAAACTCTGAAAACATCACAGACAGTGGGACTCGGGTGTTACACCCATTGTAGACAGTCATGACTCACAGAGTTATTTTCAGAGGAGATACTTGATTTCTATTATATTTAAGTGTGAAAAATCACAAATGCTGGTGATCTGTTTCTAATGTTTGAACAATCTTTTCCCTCATGGTTGTTTTGGTGGACGGATGAACTGATTGATCAGCCATCTTATCCCATATATATCTACTAAATAGTGTATTCATGTTTCTCTCTGTGTGTCTGTCCATTAGGAGTGGCTGGACTTGCGCTGCAGAGGTGTTCGCAATGCCAACGCCTACATCCTGGTGTATGACATCTGCTGCGTGGAGAGCTTTGAATACGTCAAGATGATCAGACAACAGATAGTCGAGCACAGGTACGGACTGCACAACCTCAGCTGGCCACGCAGAAACTGAACACACATGACACTGACATAGAGCTTGTTTAGCCTGACCCGTGACACCTTCACATCAACAGTCAGGAGACAGCAGGGACATTTTTTTCTTTTTGCCTGCCTGCCACAAAGCCCAATTACACATTTGTGACAGTGTGACAGTGATAGATCGTCGGCTCGCTGTGATATCTTCTAATCCAGCACACTCCGCTCTGCATTCTGACAGTTTAGTAATGACATTTGATTCTGGCATTCATTGGTGTATGAGAGCTGACTCAAACACTTCTACATCCTCGCTGATTTAAAGACGATCCTCAGGATATTTCTGGTTTCAGAAAGAGTGCAGCACAAAACTAGAGTGAGTCACAAGAAAGGTCCCCCGCCTGGCTTTTAACCAATAAAAAACAAAAAACCTCCACAAAACCCAACACTAGTGGGGAAAGGACGGATGAAAAGGCATCACCTGCTCCACAGTTCATGCTGCTGGCATATCTGCATATATTTACATATTGAAAGGTGCAATGGGTGGCCTCGTTTGCTCTGCCGTCCGAACCGCCAGCAAAGATCTCCCCCATGTTTCTGCAGCTCCAAAATGTGTTACGATGAATGTTTATGGCCCATGACAGAAAAACCATTATCACCAGCAGCTGGGGAAGCAAAGGTTGACTGCAGGAGGAATGAAAAACAGAGGAAATGTGTGATTATACTGCAGGGGGAAAAGATCTAAGGTTAGACTGGAGGAGCGGTAGAAGGGACGGACGCTGTTTTTAAACGACAATCATGAATAATGGAGCTTTAACAGCAAGGCATGGTAATAATGTAGATGTCAACATAAAGGTATTTGTGTTTATATGACCTTTAAATACATGCTTTATAGCCTATCATTAAAATGCAGCAGACAATCCCGCTGGCAGAATCCAATGAAAACAAAACCGAATGTAGATTTTCTATTTTTTGCTCTCCTTCACGTTTCCTACCTTCAGCTCAGGGAGGACTGTGAGAAAGTGTTGGCTCCATAATTCCTGTGTACACTCCTGCATGCACACACGCTCACACACACAAAACAGTACATCACGTTGTGCAAACAAACTGCAGCTCCGACAGATACGTGAGGAGATATTTTTAAGTCTGTTATGTGAGCACAACCTGCGAGGAGGAGAAAAGTGAGAGGCTTTTACAAACCAACATCTTTAACACGCTCTTCTCGGGGACTTGAGATTTGTACTGTACATCAGTCGCTCTGTTTCTTCCTCTTTGTCGAGCAATCTATCCATCTGTCAATGCAGACGGGCAAATATGCATAAGTAGGAAAACCCCTTCTCAGAAGATGAGACATGATGTAACAAAGAGAAATCTTTATTCACAGAGAGAGCACGAGGTAAATTGTTAATGCAGCAGCTTTAACAATTTACAGCTCGGCCGATGTCGAGCTCAACAAGTCAGCAGGTGTGTGCTCACACATCGCTGCTCCTTCAAACATTCATAATGTGCCTGATTTAATCAAACATGCTCAGTCAATTTAACTGGACCTACTACAGAGTGTTGATATTATTTCATGAAAATAATAATGAAAGTATTCAGCTCCACTGCGTTTGGCACCCAACTGACAAGGAAGTCTGTAAAGTTAAAGGAGCAATCTGTAAGATCTCTACTGATTTAAATGATAAAGGTATCTTACTATCTGATCAGACATTAAGGAAACATGCTATGTTGAAGTGCTGGCTTCTCTGACAACAATGCAGGAAAGAATTATCTTCAAAAACATAATACAATAATGAAAGAAAAAACAGCTTTGTTAACCCAGAATAATGAGAACAAAAAGGATGAGATCTCAAGACAACTGAAATCAAATTGCCATCACAGAGCCAATGTTGTAACCCCGAGGCAGTGACACAAATGAGTCGAGATCCTGAAGAAACCACCGGAAATTACTCATTATCAAAATGACATATTAAGGGTGAACAAGCTTGTTTTACTAAAAATGTTTTTTGCATGTTTTTCATTAATACTGTAGAAATTAGCTAACACAGTCTAAAATCTTGTATGTATTCCTACCTCTGGCAGTGCATATTGTTTCACACGTTATAATGCTGTAAACCAGTTGCTGCTCAGTGTGGTGGGAGGCCCCTTGAGCCTGTGAGCTGTAATCCTCCAGTCCACCCCCACACACCACAAGATGGAAGAAAAAAACCAGCACACAGACATCTTTAACACTCACTGTGACTAACACGGACATGATAGCTGTGCTTTTTTAAGAACTGAACATTTTCCCCCCTTCTTCTTTCTTTGCTTCTCACACACTCCTTCCTGCAGGGAGGGCAGCAGCAGCGAGGTGCCGATCCTGGTGGTGGGCAACAAGAGAGATCTGCAGCGACAGCGCTTCATGCCTCGCAGGGCCGTGTCGGTTCTGGTGAAGAAGACGTGGAAGTGCGGCTACGTCGAGTGCTCGGCCAAGTTCAACTGGCACGTCGTCCTGCTCTTCAAAGAGCTGCTGGGCATCGCTGTGACGCGGGGCATGCGCCAGAATCACACCTCCATCCGTCTGCAGGGGGCGCTACAGAGAAACCGCTGCACCATTATGTGACCCCCATCCACCCCCCCTCTCTCTCACCTTAGGCGAGGAGCGGCAGTGGAAAACAGAACTTTTATCTCAATGGCTGGAAATATACCCTGTGGCCTCCTGCTTTACTGAGCTGATTTTTCATAATGAGGTTTATTAGACTCTTATGCGCTGTAAAGACACTGACATTCACACATGGTCATCCAACCACTTCCTACTCAAATTCTGCCAAATGTAAAGGTGTGAGAAGAGTAGAGGAAGCAGGTGAAAACCTATACGACTAGAATAGCACAGTTATATTTGCTCACATCAGCTAGACGGCTCCACATTTGAGGGCTGCGCTTTCCCTAATGACACAGCAGCAGGTGTAGAGAGAGGGCTGTCTTTTGGGTCTGACAGGACTGAAGCTGAGATTGTGAGACTCAAAACAATGAGGCAGCAATATCATCGAGTCTTCCTTTTGAATTCATCATATTCAGTAAAGTCAAGCACACGCTCATACCTGACACGTTTGGATATTCTTTGAAGTTTGTGCGGCTAAGAGTCATCAAGATAGAATAAGAAAAGAGCTGCATTGCTGGGAGAGATCATGTAGAAATGAGATTAGAAGGAATTGATTTTAAGATTCTGAGGAAGTAGCCTGTTTTTTGTTTTTTTTCCCCTTCCCCTGTCCTTGTTTTCAAACCCGAGAGATGTTTTAAGGTTTGTCTTGCAGCAGAAAATACTGCAGTCCCTATCTCGATGTAGTACTGTAGGGCTTTAATCTGCTCACTCAGTGTGTCTGTTTTTTGATGAATACATTAAATCCAGGGAACTGGGAACCTGCAGGAGGCTGCAAGTCTGAGACAAGACCCTGTGCATGCGATGTATGATGTGTGAGAGTGTGTGTGTGTGTGAGCGAGAGAGAGAGAGAGAGAGAGAGAGAGAAGGAGTGAGGGACAGGGAGACAGGTTTGATAGCTGACATTCAGGCAAAGTAAAGGACAGACACTGCATGATAACAGATGGGTGTTGAAGCTTTGGATTAGGAAGGAGCAATAACACCCCCCCCCCCCCCCCCAATGGGCCTGACAGGCTTTATGTTCCACCATATTGTACTAAAAATGCCTCACATTCAATAGATGTAGTGCACTCGAGCTCAGATTTCATGCAGACAAATGGAGGCAGAGCTGAAAGACGTCCCCATGAGTGCATCACAGACACACAGGGAACCTTAATAAAGCTTGCATATCAGTATCTAATTGGTAATATTGTGAAATGAACAGTTGCTTTTTCTTTTGATTAGGCTATAGGTAGTATGTGAGCATGGCTGCACTGAGAGTAAGCAGACCTAAATGTACATAAGAGTGAGTCATAGAGTTATTGAATTGCATGCTTTTGTTGGTAGAGCCAACGGGTCAGGGGTTTTAATTGCACTGATGTGAACATTTGATATCGTGTTTAATTTTTGTAATACATGGTTTTTCTGACACTGTAATGAGCAAGCTGAGTGGAGTGAGTGTGGTCGTTTTTTCACTGGCACGTGAGAGCACAAGCTCATGATTTCTTTCTGAAGATGTAGTAGTGTTGATCCCGATCAGGACAGATGGCTATGTTATGTTAGATTTTATTTTTTTTCTTAGTAAAAAAAGAAAATAGAAATATGTAGCAGAGTTATTCTAGGAAGCAACTGTGTGTAGCATGAGTTCTCATCAGTTTGTCTGCTGCGCGTTTTCAAATAAAAAGGGCTACAGTTTTTTATCAGAGATGTTACCTGTATTTATTTTTAACCGTGTTAGTACTGTGAGTAATTCTGTTTTTTGGGGACACATGGAGAATTATTAAAATGCATTTAAAGAACACCATCTTTACTCTCGTCACTTTTCAATCCTGTGCATGCGTTCACACCACAGAGAGATTATTTTGGCAGCATTGCCACCTTGTGGTAAAGCGATGTTATCAGGAGCCTAATCCAAAACAACACACCTTGAAATATTACAATTGTTGTATTTTTGTTGCTAAAAATGTGTATTAAACAAAACAAGAAGACAATATGGATCTGTCATATATAATATCTGACAAACTTCTATTTAAAAGTTTAGATTTAAGGTGCAACTGTGTGATAATAACAATAGTTACACATGGACAAATACAGTAAACACATTAATGAAGTAATTAAATGAGTAATTTCTATGATGTTCTGCTTCTGTGGCCTTTTGATCATACACCTGAAGTTTCCCAATATGGAGACAGGACTCTTTGACTTGTTATGGATGTGTTTGTGTCCGTTTGGATTAAAGACAGCTACACAATGCAACAAAATCATCATCTAAGAAGTTTTTTTTTTAACAGATTTACAAACTATTCTCCACCTTATGTGAGACATAAACAAGTGCTTTCCTTTTTAAATGTCCCTCATGCCCTTAAACTGTGGAATTCAAAATTCACTGCTTCATCGATATTAAAATGGCGAGCTCTCAGGATGCATTTAAAAGTAAACTGAAGACCTACCGTTTAAATCTTTAATTTACCAATTAACCAATTAGCCTTGGTCAAACTTTTTTATCATTGTTTTAACATCAGGTTTTCTCTGGAACGTATTTGTCCAACTTTCACTGATTTTAATTCATTCATACATATTTTATTGTTTTATATGGTATTCATTTTTATTTTATTTTATGTTTTAACCATGTTTCCTGTTTAGCCTTTTGGGATTTTATCTATATAGTTGTCAATTTCAGTTTTTATTTCCTGTCTGTCATTCTTTTGTGAAGCACTAAGAAGCATGCAGCACTTTAGACTGCATGTTTTTTATTTATGAAAAGTGTTAAAAATTAATTAAGTTGAGAAATTATAAAAGTAATAATGCGCAGAATCAACCCAGGTGTATTGGGAGGTAGTTCATCATTTGACCCCTAATGTGACCCCCAGAAGTCTCCTGAAAGTAAATAGCAGACTGTGCACGCTGTCATGAATAAGAGGCTCTCTGTGTTGTTGCTTGTTGCATATAACAGCTTTAAAACACACACACACACACACACACACACACACACACACACACACACTCTACACATCTGGTTTATACTACAGGTACATAGGAGAGAATTTAATTAATAAAAAATGGTGAGTTAAAGGCTTTATATGTGATTTTTTGATCCAGCAGGTGTCGCCCTTGAGCACCAGCATGAAACCAAAACAACTCACGCTGCATTGTTGTGTTAGCATACTAATGCTAGCGATCTTTATTATGCTCGTATCTTCACACTGCATAGTTTTTTGGATAGTTTGGATAGTTGCTTGCAAGTGTTTGTTATAGTCCTACTTTGAATTTAGATTCAGTAGGCCACATTTTCTTTTTGGGTACCTAAGAAAACTTATGTTGATTGATTGCTCTGTCCAACAGCTCACCTCATGCGAGCAGAGAACTGTCATCATGATAATATCTGTCTCTCCATACTGTCATCTGTTCTGCACATGTTCATTTACAAATTATCCCTGCACTCAAGTTCACTTAATTTGTCTGTCTACTCGCCGTTATATTGAATAGTTCTGCTGATAACATGTCTACACTCATGCTCTTTAATTTATGTCAATACTGTCCATTTTTGCACATTTACATTTAATCTTTTATATTTGATCTGCAACCATTTATGACTTCAGTAGAAAAAAAATCTGCAAAAATAATTTATTCGCAACGTTTCTGTAGGCTACGAAAAATTTGCTAAGAAATGTATTTTAGACATTTGGATAGTTGTTTGATATAGTCCTACTTTGAATTTAAATTCAGTAGGCCACATTTTATTTTTTGGGTACATAAGAAACCCATTATGTTGATTGACGCACACAAACTTCATGCCCCCCCCCCCCCCCTTCATGCCCCCCCCCCCTTCATGCCCCCCCCCCCCTGTGTAAGTCTGTGACCCTGTTAGGCCACCCCGGTCCACAAAGAGTGGACACGTCCCTGCTCACCTGATACGCAGAATTAAAACCAGCAGCCAAACCGCATGTGAAATGTTTAACAATGTTTAGAAAACAACATCACATGATGCAGATCTGGAACATAGAAGTGAATCGGTAGATCGGTAATCTCCACTCACATCCACACTCAGCAGCTGTTCTCTCCTGACGTCACTGTCATTAACTGTTTCTCAGTGTTGTCATGGAAATCCCTGTTGCTTTAGTGTCAGAGTACACACGGGGGAGGGGGCTACGTGAGGCATTTCCTCTCTATGGGGTCCAGCTCTGTGCTCTGGATCCTCCGCAGTCTGCATCAGCAAAGTGTCTTCATCATCACTCCGGTGTTTCAGTCCGCCGTCATGTGAGCGGTGAGCGGTGGTCCTCCTCCTCCACCTCCCCCTCCTCGTCCTCGACCCGGATCCGGACCCTCCTCCGGTGGATCTCAGCAAGTTGGTGTTGGTGCCGACGACGACGGTAGTCCCGGCGGGGTGTCCCCTCCCCTCCCTCCCCGGTTTACCCTGCACACCTCCGGGAGGATGAGCGAGCAGGGGAAGGGCTCGTCCGGCGCTGCTGCTGCTGCCGCGGCGGCCCCGGCGGCTCCAGGGTCCGACACTTACAAAGGCTGGCTGTTTAAATGGACCAACTATCTGAAAGGGTACCAGCGGCGGTGGTTTGTCCTCAGCAATGGCCTCCTTCCTACTACAGGTAAATGTTTGACATGTCAAAAATAGTGGCGCACGGGGAGTCGTACCTGTGTGTCAGCTGGTTAGCTAACATGCTAAAGCTAGCTGTCAAACAGACTCTCCGCTGGTTGTTTACATCGAGCAGACTGTGACAATACAGCCCACATGTTTTACTCTTAAATGACTGAATGTTGCGGGAAAGCACCAGCACAGATGTGTTTACTCAAAGCAACCACTGGAGCAAAGATTTCTTACTCGTTAAAGTGATTTAAAAAATGCGGCTACAGTAGAATCAGACATCTGCTAGCATGTAGGCTAGCTCGCTAGCATCGAGCTTTTGACAGGTGGAGATTTAAATGTCCTTTTTATTTACTTTTCACGATATAACAACTGGAAACGTGACGTCATGAAAGTCCACTAATAAATTATTTATTTCTATGTTACTGTCACTATTTTTTAAAAACATTTATTCTCTATACAATATTTATAAATGAATTAATTCTCACAGTAATTTAAACATTTCTGAAGCCCAGCTGCTCAGTCTGATCTCTGTGACGTCACGTCTCCCTCTGAACACTCAGATGTCACCTGTGAGACATCACGGGCTGTGTAGTAGACTCAACAACACCTGTAGATCTGATGCCGTGTTTCCCCAGGTGTGTGAGGAGGAGGAGGAGGAGGAGCAGATAGATGATTTATTGATCCTGAGGGTAATGCAAAGCATCCAGTGGCAGCTTACAACACCCACTGTAACCCCTCACACATCCAGAACAAAGATTTAAAGAAACCCCTCTATCAAAATTAAATCTGTAGGCCTTCAATTAGTTTTAGTGCTTATTTACTTTGTATTTAATATTATATTGTGTTTAAATTTGCTAATATTGTGTGTTTGGACAACCTGCTGCTGTAACGCCACAATTTCCCAGTTTGGGATCAATAAAGTAATTCTATTCTATTCTATTCTATTAAAAATTAGACCCATACAAAGAAAATGTGCATAACCCATACTGGAATAAGATCAGAATCCTGTGCACAATTTAAAAGCTCTGGTAAAATTAAACACATTAGAGAAGACCTACAGCTGCACAGGAGCATTTATGTTGTGTCTAAAAGGAGTCTGTGCGTACTTTAAGGTGCAATTCTGCTGATATATTACATGTAACGATGAACAACCCAGTCTGATTACTGTGACGAGATGTGCAGATAATCGGCTGTTATCAGTTTGTTCTTGCTTTCTGAACACGGTTACCACCTGTGACTCAGACTAGACTAAACAACACCTGTAGATCTGGCGCTTCTTGCAACAGAATCATGTTTCCACGGGTGAGGAGGAGGAGGCGGCACAATAGATAGATAGAAAAGCTATGAATGTGACCCCTGAGTCCAGATTATTTCACTACTTTCACTGCACGGCTCTTGCACGTTGAATCAGCTTTCTTTAGCTGCCTCTGTCGATATTAAAACTCTGCTCTATTGCCTTCTAGGTCACACTGCAAATGGGAAGGAATAACCTCGATATTGATCTCAAAACAAACTGAAATTGCCAAGAACATAAATTCATGTAAAGACTTCATGTTGGACCTTTTGCGATTTTGGGATCAGCATGCAGCATTTAATGATACCACACTTAAAACAATATTAGCACATGCATCGTCTGCATGAAAGGGAGGGTGGAGTATGAGTTGTTCACCCGGTCATTTGAGTTAACCTTCCTTAGCTTAACCATTTGATTAGTCAAAGCTTTTGTTTCAGGTTCAAATCCTTCACAAATCAGCTTGATTAAAATCTCAAATTGCCCTTTAATTGCTCGCAGTAGTTGAAACAATTAACACCACTTAAATCGTAAGCCCTCTTGGATAATTATCTTTGCAAATGTCACATTTCATCCGGAGGTTAAAGGTGCTAAACTGGTTATGAAGTCGGAGAGGATTCACTGCTTCTGCAAAGGGAATTAAGTTGTCAGGATAGGACTTCACTCCAGGAAATCTTTGACTCACATTGCCTCCCTGCTGCTCCACCAGTCATAAACACACTCCTCAGTCTAATGTACATCTTTACATTTCATAGAGAACATTTTTCTGTCATGCTTGCAGAAAATCTCTGAAGCCCGTTTCATCCTACGCTACAGCATTGACCACGACTCCTCTTAGTACCTCACTTTCCTCAGCAGCCCTCGTTTTTCAGCACTGTCATTTGACACAGAGGTAGTTTAGCCAAGGCAGCGAGTGGTGAAAGGAAAGACGCCTGTTGCCTCTCTACCCTTTATTAATAGTCCATTATGTTGTAAGGTGACTGCCGTCCTCCAGAGTAAAGGTAGCCCAACGACATCTGAGCACAGAGGCAGTGAGGCGAGAAAAGTCGCCCCCCCCCTTCCCCTGATGTCCTCCTGCATGGCAGACCACATTGTGTGTGTCTGACTTCAGGCCTTGTCTGCTTCTTTCTGTGCCTCCTTTGGCCCCGACAGTCTCTGCACTTCTTTTATGAGCAAAATGAAAAGGAAAAAGTCGGGACAAATTTGAGAACATGTGATTTGAAATGTCAAAAAAATACAACTGTGCTGGATGTTTGCTTTTATTATTTCTGCAGTTATCTGGCAAAAACACTCTGAGGTTATGTCAGAGTTATTCTGCTGCCAAACTCTTTGTCTTTTTGACATGTAGCCCCCTTTGTGATGATTCAATGATGCATGAATGTGTGTTATAATTTGATAGGTAGATGTTTTATAAAGACGATCCCCAAGTGACTTTCCTTCTCATCTCCCATCCTGCATTGATCAGTTGAGTTCAATATACGTTTGCCTTTTTTTTACAAAGGCCTGTTTAAATAGAAATCAATCGTGACTGACTGCCAATTAAAGGTCCAGCCAATAACTGAGGGATTACTTTCATTCCCAAAGCCTGCTGTGTCTTCGCTCTTTAACTGGTAGCTGAGAAGGCAAAGGGCAGTGAAGGATCGTAACCACCAGTGCTCTGGACTCCATGGGTGGACTGTCACACTCAGCACTTGTGTCTGTTAAAATGTAATGACTTCAACATTGCACTTGTTATTGATTACTTTTGGCCCAAACACTGCAAGGCTGGCTGTCTTTTATTCCACATTAGCCTGGGTCTTCACTTTTTTAGTGTGTGTAATGCACAGGAAGAGTTTTACTGTGCCTCCCCCCACCTCATTCTCTCACTGTTCTTCTTTCATATTCAATTTCTTAATTGACTTTTTCCTCCCAGTTTTAATACTCAGCAGTACTTACCTCTTCTAGTGAATCTGGCTTGGTGCTTTAGGGAAGATTACAGGGCATTAAAGCTATGAGTGCTACTGGAGCTGCCATATCAGTTGATCCAGACTTGTCTTTCATAGTAGAGTAAGCCGACCACTTTTCCTTCTGAGCTGCAGGAGAGTAACAAGATCGTATCACTTTAGGTTCTCAGCGGGGTATCGGCACCGTTGGTGTCCCATGCTGAGAGTCAGGTTATGGTGTTACTGCTGGCACACTCACCTCCTAGGAGGCGGGTTGCCTGGGCCCTGTTTAGTGGCCTGGCACTGGAGCAGGAGATGTGGTGCTCTAATCTTGCTAATGGGCCCCTCGTAGGTCTTAGTGTGTTTGTGCATGTGTAACAGTGTCTTTATGTGTCCATCCAGAGGGTCTTTGTCCTTTTTTTGTGTCAAGGTGAGCGCAGCAGAGTGCATGGAAATCTGGCCACATTCCCATCATGTCATTGTTTTAGTCATGTCATTCCCATGTTGTCAATAATATTGCTTCTGTACACCACGCTCCTCCTAAGTGTATCATGTCTTGTGATGTACCATCTTCATCGCCATGCTCTTGATACTGTGCCCTATACACTTCTGGCCTGCCTGTATGTCTCCTCATGCTTATGGCTGTCTACTCTGTGTTGTTCACTGGTTGTTGTTCTGTCATTACATGCTCCAGATCGGTGGATATGTGTTTTATGAGGATATGTGCACAGGGGACTGACAGGTAAAGCCCTGCAAATTCTCTACCGGCTCAGCGCATCATGCAGAACCCCTGTCTCGTGCTCTCAGCTGCCCTCATCTCACCTCTACCCCCCCCCCCCTCCTACTAGTGCCTCAATGCCCCCTGTAGTAGTCCTTATCTCACTTTCCCAGCTTTTGTAGAATCCCTGACTGTATAATCTCATGGCCTTTGCATGGCCTTGCCTCCCCACAGGGCAGAAGCGATAAGTGAGGTGGTTTTTCGTCTTACTCATCAGCAACATATTCAGTCTGTTGACCCACTTTCAGCCAGGACTCTGCGGCTGAGCTTGGCCGGGGCTCAGCTAGAAACTGGGCTGCTAAGGATCCCTGCCCGCCATCCGCACAGCTTCGCATGGCACTGGCTCAGTCTTTTCTTCAAAACTGATGTGCACTAAGAGTCAGCAGGAGGGCAGAAACACTGAAGCACTTGTTCTGCTTTGGCATTATAACAAGCGTTGACTCTAACCAGTAGACGCAGTGTGAGGGGAAATCACAGGCTGGCAGAGCGTACCAACGCACTTCAAACCTGTGACTTAATGAGGCTGCAGCCACCTTGTCAGTGTCAACAGAGAGAGTGGAGCTGGTGGAGGGCTCTGTGCTGCTGAGAGGCAGCTGCTGCTGGCTGTAAGGAGCTCTCTGTGGCTGACTGAATGGATGTTAGCGCCCACAGACTAATACAGACACTCTCACATGATTGCTTTTGGAGACGCTGTTTCCGAGAATATGGATGAGCATACTGTGCATATGACCCTGAGAGTAGAGGAAAAACTGTGTTCAATCTAAAAACAAAACAGCATGTGATTTCACTGATTAGCCGGTGCTGTCTGGTTGATGGTGCTAATCAGCAGAATCAGCTGTCTGCAGCCTGAGTGCAGACCTGCATAAGCCTCAACCCGCCCCTGAGAGGGGTCACGATGAACCATGCCCGCAGCTTAGCTCGTCTAACCGTGACAGAATGACAGGAAGCCAATTTAACCACACAGAACTGTAAATGCAATGTTTCTTTTTCTCCATATAATCCCATTAGTTGTAGCAACGCTGTTCTTACAAGGACGTTATTTAAAAACATGCCTCATATTTATGACCCTTAGTAAACTCTACTTTATTTTGATGTTTATGATGATACACAAAACCTTTTTTCATATTTTGCTGCCAGGCTCTGCAGTTAAAGGCTTTATATGTGATTTTTTTTGCCCTTGAGCACCAGCATGAAACCAAAACAACTTGCGGTGCATTGTTGTGTTAGCATGCTAATGCTAGCGATCTTTATTATGCTGGTATCTTCACACTGCATGTAAATTTACCTGAAATGAGCGTGATCTAGAAACACAGTTAAGCAGTGAGTACAGTATGTTATTCTTCTTTTCTCTAGTCCCTCAATTAAACAACTTTTATACACGAGGGGAGGAGTCAGCCGGCCGTCCTGGCGATGTAAACAAACTGAAGATAGGACTCTGAAAACTCTGAAAACATCACAGACAGTGGGACTCGGGTGTTACACCCATTGTAGACAGTCATGACTCACAGAGTTATTTTCAGAGGATATACTTGATTTATATTATATTGAAGTGTGAAAAATCACAAATAAAGACTTTAACGTTTTATTGGAAGATTTACTCTGGAAACATACCGTCTAAACATTTGGCTTTGACACTCTTCTCTTGTCCTTGCTCTTTGTTCTAATCTCTCGCTCTGTTGCTTTGGCTCTCTCGCCCCTGCTATCTGTCTCTCTCTCTTTTTCACACTCTGTCCCTTCTTTGTTCACGCTGTTATTCATTGTTTGGTTTTGCTCACTACAGAGAGAGCTTGGAGCCAGACAATGGCCTTGTTATCTTGACTACTGTGGCCCACTGAATGTGCAACAGTTGGTCTTAGTGCGGAGGCCACACAGAGTACCCACAATTCAGCATGCTCACAGCAGGTCAGGCAGGTCATGCTGAGTGAGGTAGAAATAAATCACATTTAGTTTTAACATTAGCGAATGCTTACGCTTTATGTTTCTTAAATGAATGTGCTACAAAGAAAGTTTGTTATGAATGAAATAACAACGTACTTCCTTTGCTGCTTGGCTTTTCAAAGTGAATCCTCGTAAATTGTGGCATTTCTCCGTCCCTCCTCACCCCCCTGCTTGTGCTTATTGGCTGTAGATCTGTCAGTTGTACTTCCCCTTCACTGCAGTGACAAATTAGGTCTCATACAAAAATGTTTTCAGCAACGTTGAGTGTCTGCTATTCTTATTGTCTCTCTCTGTCTTTCTGTCTCTTTTTCTGTCTCGGTGTTATGTTGCAGGACGCAGGCAGAGATGGCCCACACATGTCGGGGAACTATCAACCTGGCCACAGCGCACATAGACACAGAGGACGCCTGCAACATCGTGCTGAGCAGCGGCGGCCGAACCTACCACCTGAAGGCCAGCACGGAGGTGGAGCGGCAGAGATGGGTGACGGCGCTGGAGCTGGCAAAAGCTAAAGCCATCCGCATGATGAACGATCAGTCTGGTAAGGGGACGCTGCAGCGAGCAGCTACTTACATTGAAAGTTTAAGCTGCATGGTCACGCTTTTTTATAGTCTAAGTGCAAGCTGAAGGGGCTTAATACACCCATGAGGCGCTAATGTTGGACATTTATGAACAGAATTTAACCTTGATAAATAAAGGCTGGGCTGACACATCCCTGGGCAAACATAGGAAAGTGTTATTATTAAGATCCCTGCAAGGTGAGAGGTGTGTTCAGCAATATCACACAGGCCAGCCAAGATATATATTTACCATTTTGATATTCAGCACAGCTGGCTTCTGAGCTCACGCCCTTCTTCTGCAAGACTGTATGTCTGCATCCTGGAGCTCTCTCGTCTGTGTGCTCTCGCCTAGATGCCTGAAGCCGAGCCCCCTGAGCTTCTAATTCTCAACATAAAGATCCGGAAGATAAAAATATCTGTAGTGTACATGTGATATATTACAAACACACTAGGTGCTTATACATTCAAGACTAAATTAAAAATAAGTAATTTTGCCATTCTATATGTGTATGTGCTTTTTGAGTAATATATAAACACACAGCTCGCTTGGCGCGGTGGTAATGTTTGAATTAATCATAGACTGTAAATATTAATTAATGCACAAGTTTGTAAACTTCTTCTTGACCCAGCGCATTCTCACAGACGAGAGAGCGCCAGGATGCAGCCGTACCCGACTCTCCTTCTTTAATGTTGTTGTGATTCCAGCGTCGGCCAGGAGAGGAGAGTGCGTCTTCTCAAGTTTAAAAACATAAAGTAGGATGCTAATGTCGCTGTGAAAACTGGGCTTCCTTTCAGCTTCCCCCAGACCACACAGCACACACACGTATCCACGGGAACTCGTTCTTGTTTGGCTGTTTTAAAAGATGCTGGTCAAAGGGCTGTGAGAAAAAAAATCCCGGGACAGTCGTTATTCTTCACGTCAACCTGGCATCAACCCAAAACCTCTCTACCCCCGTGTCTTTTTGCAGACAGGGTCTACAGAGACTGAGATGGGCTATATATTCCTCTGGCCTCCATTTGAAAGTCAGATCACTAAATATAGACTAGGGAAAGAATGTGGGCGCTTTATAGCTCCACCACTTCCAGTAAAGAGGAGAGGAATACTGCTGGTATAATTGTATTTGGAAAGCGGAGGCTATTGATCCACTCGGGCACACTTTTTGATTTGTGTGTGTGACAATATTTGTTTGTGTATATTTTCTGCAGCATCCTTTCTTCTCTATGAATTGAACAACATTTTGATAAGCGCAGAGTAAGTGGAATAAGGAATATATACAAATATAAATATAACAAAAATATTTATCATAATTTTATATCTAGGTTTCTTTTGGGCCCTTTATTGCTTCCTTGCCTCTGAACGTTTTTCTTTACCATTCTCAGCAAACCGTTCCTATATAAAATCTTGATTTGATATGTAGCGCCTGACCAATATGGGATTTTTGGGGCCAATACTGGGGAGGGAAAAAAAAATCAGATACCGATATTTTGGCCGACATCCTTCTTAGATGTATGTTAAATCTGTAGAGATAGATATACACGTTTATAGCTTTGATCGCACAAATGCAGTAATGGAAATCTGCTAGTTTAATACAATGATGCTCAAATAAAATGCTTTTTGACTGGTGAATAAATCCAATAATGTCGCTGCATATCTGTGATAGAATAAGCCGATATCTGGCCAATTAATCAGTCGGGCTCTACTTATGAATGCACCTGCAGGTGTGTAACAAAACCACAGGTAATTGAACTCAAAACTTAAGTCTTTGGTAAAAAAAACAGTCTTTACTTTTGACAAGCAGACAGAATCCAAAAAAAGGGAACACGCAAAGTCGACGTCAAAAACACAGCAGAAGTCGATTCCAAAAAAGTTATCTAAGAGAAACAAAAAGGCTTGTACGCTTCACACAGAGGTCAAAGACGAACTGGCACAGAAGGAAGGGAAGCCACAGACTAAATACTAAGGTGAGGGGGAAGACAACGAGATGGGAACAATCGGGGCGGGGCAGACAATCACACATGAAGGCAGGAAGTGAAGGATCTGAAATGAGATGGAGAGGTTAGTGACCCAAAACAGGAAATAATACCAGTAGAAATTAAAACATAGGGTGCGTTCGAATTGTCCCTCCTATCTCCTTTCACTATCCACTTCACCTTTAACCCCGGAAGCAGTTAAGTGGCGGCCATGATAAGAGCCGTTCGAATTCTCTAAAAGTTAAGGAAAGGTGGGTCAATGCTTCCTTTATAACCTCCTTTAGGATACACTGGACCGTCCTTTACCAAAGGAGATGAGATATGACGCCCCACAATTCCTCGCGGCCGCAACATTTAAAGCGGCTCGCGCATCCGACCGTTCACGAACATTAACGATGACCGTAAAGTGACACAGATCATTTAAGTTACCATCACAATAATACGCCTTGAACAACTTTCACCAATCTTTAACGCGTAGGCGAACTGTGAACGTTATGCTGATGTTGTAAAACGATCAAAGTGAGTTTAACTTTTATTGCAGCCTGTGCTCAGTTTGCAGTCGTTATTTATCCACTTTGAGTGTTTTGGCAGCCGTAAGCAATATCATAAATAAGGTTAAACTTTCCTTCAGTCACAGATGCTGAAACCCTTGTCTTGATTAAGGTTCTTGAGATATTCTGCAAAGCCAGATCATCAGATTATAATCACCATAAAAAACATCACCCTGTCTTTCAGGTGAAAAGGGATCAGAGACATTTTGAGCCAGATGATGTTTTCTTCAGTTGTACATTCTTGTCTTGCATACATGTAACAATTAATTTCATATATATGATGTTGATTTCTGAGTGGACAGGAAGGTGATGGTTTCACTTTTCTTACTTGTAGCCTGGTGGTCTATATTTCTTTTATTTCAATCTCAACCTTGTGGTGATTAGGATTATTTCACCGGTAAGAAGGCACAGAAAGAGTTTTTTAGATGTGTTTTTTGTAGTCCATTTTCTGAACATTGTAGTTTCAACACAGCGGACCCACGTCATTAACCTCCGCCGGCCCGTCGCATTTAATGACGTGGCCTAGTGGAAAATGTGGTCGTATTGTCAGAGCAACGAGATCGCCTTTCCCCAAGTCCTTTATGAATTCTCCTAACATCTTTCCTTAACCTCATGACGTTGTCCCCGGGGTTAAGGTAAAGTGGATAGTGAAAGGAGATAGGAGGGACAATTAGAACACACCCATAACCTCAGACACAGAGCTGGACATGACAAGGTGCTGCAGGATGAGTCTGCTGGAACTCGACTTTAACACTGTTTGTCATTCAGGACCTCTTCGACACTCTGTTTAAAAAAACCTGAAACTTTAAATCTCCAGAAATAATTGAATTAGTGCTTTGCTTGCCATGCATTTGACTTTAATCCCACGTAGCAGCAAATTGTTTGCCCTCTCTTTAACTCACTCGCTGCTTTAAAGCTTAGAGAATGGATATGTGCACGTCTCAGTGTGTTTTTCTAACATTTCCTCTCACTGCTAATCTATCTGTGGGAGGAGGATTTAAGCCAATGTGAGAAAAGGGACACTGTGATTCTGTCTAATGCGAGCGCTTGTGCAGGAAATGCTTCAAACAGACTTTTAGACCTCGACACAATGCTAGTAAAAAACAATGATGTTGATAGCCGTTTCTAAACCATGGAAACAAAAATGGAAGTCAGAGGCACCAAATAATGAGTAACTTTTTTATCGTCTTTATGGGACCTGAGACATGTCTGTTTCTTCAGACCTTTACACTTGAATGCACCATCCCTGCTCTCTCGCATGCTGCAGCTTTCGTCTAAATATGACCAAAGATCTGAAGCTTTTTTATTCTATTTTATTTTTATTTTAAACCCGTTTTCTGGCACAACTTCACCAACTACAAAGGTGCATGAAGAGTGAAAGGCTTGGAGAGGTCGAATAGCTCCAGCAACTCTTGAAGTATGAAGATCAACTTTATTAGCAAATTAGACCGATGTGTTTCGGCTTGTGGCGTTCATCAGGGTCATTTTCTACTTTTCAACAAACTATGTCTTTACATACATGAATTGTATCATCTTCAAAACGTTTGTAACCCAAGAAAAAGAAAATCTGGTCAACCTTTGTTAGAACTTACCAAAATGTAATTTCTACATTATTTTGTCATCACGATGGTTCAGCGTGTCCGTTGTTTTCAACAAACAGCTGCTATCGATCCGCTCAGGCGAACAGCCTCTGAACATCACGTGTTTAGATAGAGATCTACATTGACTCGATATCTTGGAAGTGGCTGGTTGTTTCATTACTCGGTGTAATTGTGCCTTTTTTTTGTAGTATTCTAGCCGAAGAAGGTTTCAAAACAGTTCAATCCAATAAGACTCTGTAAGACCTCTATCCCCAACTCAAATCCTCAGTCTGTCTTTGTCTGGGATCTGTGAGAATCCCTTCTCCTGACAACTGACCCGAGCCCAGAATACATTACTTGAGTTCCCTCATTAGCACCTGAAGCCTTCGCCATTCATGAGCCTCCTCTTTGTAAATTGCCCGTCCTTTCATGAGTGCATCTTGCTTCTAATTTAGTCTGAGATTGGATTTTTTAAACGACAACTAGAGCTCACCGCCTGTAGTCATTGAGGCGTTGAGCCAGCAGGGGGCAGTGTTTCCCCATCCCTTCAATGTGACCCCTCCTATGGGTTCGCCCTGCTTTGTTTCACTGCTGCTTGTGAAAGTGGGATCACAGCCCGTTGAATCAGCTGTTCCGGTGGTGACTCCAATATGCGAGAATGTCATGGACTTATATTTAAATTCAACACGAGTGAATACTTGCTGACATGTCGGATTTTGGTGGAAACAGGGAAGCGGTTTGGTGACTAATTCATAGATAGTGGAACCAGTCATGCAGTGGTTAGTTTCTCTGGGTCTAACTGAGTTCAAACAGCTGAGGGAGTCAGCAGCACGTGCAGATAGACGTTTCCAGCCTTTAAACTGATGTGTGCCTTCGTTT